GCCAGCTAGGCCACACTGCACTCTTCTCAGGGTCAGTGAAGGGGAGTGGGTCATGCCCACCAAGTGGATCATGAGTGCCTCTATGGGAACCTGGCCATCTCCCGGTGGCTGTGCAGCCACTGGGATTGGGGCTGGGTTCAGGCTGCAGCATCTGGGCCTCTGGATGCAGGCAGGTGCATGGGCAAATTCGCGGGTCCCACGTGCCACCTTCCATGAGGCTGGACCTGCAGACCGCTAACCAGGAAGGACGCGGCGGATCCTGGAAAACCCAACCTCCCCCCTCCCCCTCGGTCTCCCTCTCGCGTCTCCCCCTCCTCCCACCGCCCCGAGTTAGACCCAATCGCCCGGCACGCTCCTGCGGCTATCGGCGCCCAGGTGGGCCAAGCAACTGGGACACTGGCCTGCCCCCACGTAGTCTGGTCCAGGGTGGAGAGAGAGGGGTTCGGGACACGGAATCCGCCCGGCTCCGTTCAGGACACCAAGAAGCCGAGACCCTTGGAGCAGGACGGCAGCCCCGGAGGAGGAGGGCGCTGCTCCGGCGGGCTGGGCTGGAGTCAGGAGCGCCGGACGCAGCCACCACCGCAAACCGGCTGCGCAGTGTAGACGCGGGAGCTGCTCGCGCCGCACGCTGGTTTTGACTTTGTGCATTGAACACAGGAAGCCGCGTCGACCATCTAATCAGCCCGGGGGCCCCAGGTCTTGCGCCCCTGCCTGGCCCACGCCGTCTGGAGCCCTTGGCCGCCCGACGTGCAGCTCAGCGACGCCGGCCGCTCCCCTGGCCTCCGAAGTTTCTTTCCCATGGAGGGCACCCCGGCTGCTCCACGTCCTCCCGCGCCCGCTGCGAGCTGCAGCGTCCAAGATTTGTTACACGGGTTTGATTCAAGACCTGATAAATTGTATTGAGCTCTACTTGAAATTTTTTAACGAAATTATTCAAAAGATTTTTAATCCTGGATAATTTTTGTTGAAACTCTAATTATACATCACCTTAATTACCAACCCCAGCCCCGCAAGGATCCCTAATTGCCTCCTAATTAAATAAAACAGGGGGCTAATAGCGCCCACGGCAGCCTAGCGAGCTGGCGTGCCTCCCCCGAGGGACCCGGTGGGGGAGACCCCAGCGGCACCACCGCTCGCACCCGGCCTCCTCACAGAAACGGGCGATAAGGTCCCCTGCCCTGCACTGTGCCCAGAAGGACACCTGGAGTGCAGGAGCCTTGGGGCCAGGAGGGTTGGGGAGGCCCAGCCCGCACCTGCTCCCCAGACGGCCCCGCAGGAGGGACAGGGTGGCCTGGCTGGCTCGGTGTAGTGGAGGACCCCAGAGCGCAGCTGCCGGTGGGGAAGGTTACTCCCTGAACAGGACTTGGCACGACACTGTCCCACAGGCCTGGGCGCCACGGCACACCTGCAGGGCCCAGGAAGAGGTCAGCGCCTGAGGGTACCGGGCACACCACCACGGGGCACCTGGCCTCGGCCGACAGCCCCATGCCCCGCCCCTCCACCCGGCCTCTGCGGCTTTCGCCTGAAGCGGGTCTGGTCGCTCCACTCCCACCGGACATATTCTGGTGCCGCTGCCCCACCGGGAGAGCAGACAAGAAGCTGCTGGGGAGAGGGCTGTTGGAAGGGGCGGCTTTCCCCGAGGGCAGGAGCCCGGCCGGCCGGTGGAGTGTGAGCCCGGCCTGCTCTGGCTGGGGGAGGAACTCAGGCTCCAGCCGGGCTGCCTCTGACCTTGTCACACATACACACATCAACCCTGAACACACAAGACAGCAAACGTCATATCTCTCCCACCTGGGGGCCCCCCATACCACCACCGCCACCGCCAGCCCAGTGGCCAGGCAGCTGCTGGCCAGGACACCATGCCCAGATCTGGGACACGTGGTTCCAGATCTGTGGGGTCTGTCACCTCCATGGGATCACGTTCACAGGCCACTCCAGTGGTGGAGGGGGGAGGCCTGGCTAGACAGTTTCTCAGAGCACATCTCTCCTCCTGTGGGGCCTTCCAGCTGTGCCATGAGGTCAGAAGGGCACCCTGGTCCTGGTGACCCTCCACCTGCCCACCTGGTCACAACAGTGACAGGACCATAAACCTTTTGTTAGGCATTTCATTCTTTAAAATGGAACAGAGATGACTGACTGCCCCAGCCAGTGTGAGTGGACCCTGGGCCAACCTGTCTCCACTTGCCCCTGGCCTCTGAGGCTCAGGCTGTGGAGGTAGGGGACAGCCCAGTGGCTTCTGCCCTTGAAAAGCTCAATTCAAAGCTACAGTGTGGGCTCAAAGGTGCTACAGCTCAGCCAGCCTGCAGGCCCATCAGGACAGCCCCCCACCCCCGAAGGGCAGTCAGGGGCAAACACAAACTACAGCTCCAGAAAGACCCTCTGGGGCAGCCCCTCAGGTTTGACTGGGGGGTGTGACACCCACTGACCTGGCTGCATATGTCTGTGGGCACAGCGCAGCCCTGCACACACAGCCATGACTTGATCCCATCCCCCAGCCCCCGACCCTGGCCGGATGCAGCCTGGAGGGGGAGATCTGTTGGTGGCCTGGGGTTGCTCTGCTGCCTGGGATTCAGGTAATGGAGCAGGTCCCCTGGACGTCCACATCTGCTGAAAATATTGTCCAGTGCAATGAAATTCCTCAGTGGATCGTGTGCTCTTGTATTAGGCAGCCAGCCGCCGTCCTGGGCCTGCCTCGGCCACTTTTTTGGAGGGGGCTGGGGGCAGCTGTCCAGGCTGTGGTGCCAAAGCAGGAGGGGTCCCCAGTGCCCAAGTGTGGGCTCCAGCTGGGCCTGGGCCTCACAGACCTGCTCCATGTTGGCTTTTTCTCACTAGGACTCCCAGGAAAAGGGAAATCTGTGCTCTTTCCGACCCTTGGGTCTGGTTCTCGGGCATACCCGGGTACTGGGCTGCAGGACACTGCCAGGCACCCATTCCAGGTCCTGAGCAGAGCCTAGCAGGCCACCCTTCCCCACCGGGTGGGTGTGGAGCAGACAGAGAGCTAAGGGCCAGACTGGTGGCTGCTCAGTGCGGGACGCACGGAAGTTTCTGGGGCGCGATGAGTGTTCGCGTGCAACGAAGGCCCAGTGAAAGAACAGCCCCTTTCCACCTCCTGGCTCCAGCCTCACAGCCCCTTCCTCCACGGTAGCCTAACCGGGTGGCCTCCAGGCAGAGCCTGCGTCTCTGAGAAGGCCCGTGGGGCACTCACAAAGCCCACCGTGAGCGCGAACACCGCTCCCCACGCGCCCGCGGGCAGTTTGTAGCACGCACACAACCCGCTGCACCAGCCAGAAAACGCGGGGCCTTGTTCGCACCAAGAGGGGCCAGAGGTCAGAGGAGGATGGGGAGTCTGAGGCCATGAGCGTCGGGCAGAGGAGACTGGCTGGAAAGGAGCGCCACATCTAGGGGCCTCCACGCAGCCGGCGCGTTCCCGGGGGGGTCCTGCAGAAGATGGGAGCTGCTTTTCCCCGACTGGCCCGGCCCGCGGCGTGAGACAGCGGGCGCCGTCTGGGGCAAGCCGGACCGTCCGAACCGAGCGCACAGAACTTTTCCGGAAAACTCGTCTCCAGTTCCGCGCCCAGCGGGCTCACACTCGGGTGCTCGGCCGTGGGTGCTGCGAGACCGGGCCGGGCAGGGTCAGGCCGAGGAGCGGACTGGTCGGCCTGGTGGTCCGGCAGGCAGCCCCGGGGAGTGGGCCGGGCGTCCCTTCGCGGGTGGGCGCGCGGGCCGGGAAGAGGCGGCGGCGAGAGCAGCAGGCGCCGACTCCGCTCCTCGGGGCGCTCGCCGCTTCGCTGCAGCCGGGCCGCGCGCGGCCAGGCTTCGGGAGCCGAGCTGGCCGGGCCGCGGCGCCGCCGGCCCCACCTGCCCGCCTCTCGGGCCGCAGCCCCGGGCCCCGAGGCGGACGGCGCCGGCGGACGGGGAGCGGAGGGCGCACGGCGGCCCCGGGGCGCGGCGGTGGACGGCAGTGCGGGCGGCAGGCGCACCCGGCTGGCGGCGAGGACCGGGCCGGCGGCGGGCGGGGCGCGCGGAGCCCGGGACTCGGCCCGACACGGAGCGAAAGAGAAAGTAAGACCGGGACCGGCGGGCGCGCAGGGGGCAGCCCTGTCCCCGCCGGGCCTCGCGGCCGCGCCGGACGAGCGGGTGCGGGAGGGTCCGAGCGGGGCCGAGGGCGGCGGCGGCGGCGGCGGGTGGGAAGGCGGCCGCGGGGACCCGCCTGCCCGCGGCACCGGCGCCTGGCGGCCCCCGCGCGGGCTGCCGGAGTCCCGGAGCAGCGCCCGCCGCCGCGCGGGCCACCAGTTGGGAACGAACTTCCCGGCCGCGGTTCCACGCCAGGCAGACGTCTCCATTTTGCTCCCCAAGTGGCTGCGGCGGCCCCGCTCGCCGCCCCTGCCCCGGCGCCCAAGGGGCCGGGTGGGCGCCGGCCCGCGCCCCCTCCCCCGCCCCCTCCCCGGCCCGGGGTCTCCCTCCTCTGCGCCCAGCTGGCGGACGCCAACGGCGGTGCTCTAGCGCCCACTATTTCAAAAGCCCGGAATATGATTTGACCGGGACCGAGCGCCGCTCGGAGAGCGAGGGGGAGAGGGCGAGCGGGGAGGGAAAAGTTGCTCTCGCCTTTCGTCAACTTTTCGCTAACTTTCGCTTTTCGCTCCCCTCCGCCCCCAGCGCTCCCCCCCCGCCCCCCTCCCCGGCCCCCCCCCTCCGCGCGCCTCGGGTTCCCGGGCCCGAGCGCCCGACGCGGGGGGGGGGAGGGAGGCGGGGGAGGGGGCTCGGCGGGGAGGGGGGGCCGGCGCCTTCGGGGAGCGCGCGGCCCGGGCGCCCCGAGCCTCCGCGCCGAGCCCGGCCGCCCCGGAGCGCGGGAGGCGGAGCAGCCCCGGGCCGCGCGGCCGACCCGGGGACCGGGAGCCCGAGCGCGCCGGCCGCGCCCCGACGCGCACCCCTGGCCTGGGCGCCCCGGGCCCCGCGGCCCGGGCCCGGCGGCGCGGCGCGGCCGAGCGCGGGAGACTCACTTTTGGCCAGCTTCCTCGCCCTCGCCTTGGATCGCATGGTGCCGGCGCGCGGATCCCCTCTCCTCCGCCCCGAGTCCAGGAGCAGCGCACACTATCTTCATCTCCGCAGCATTGTCAGTTTGGACACCTTCGCACATGCGCACAGAGCGCTCAATCTGACACCCCTCGCCGGGGCCAAAAAAACTTTGCAATGTATTCATCATCCTCATCGTCGCGCCGCCGCCGCCGCCGCCTCGGCGCGGGATTGGGGGGCTCTCCGCGGCCTTCCCGGTCTTCCCCTCACTTTTCTCTGCCCCCCGCCCCCTCCCTCCCCCCCACCACACCCCTTGCCGCGCAGCTGGGAACTGGCCCTTTAAGAACACATTCCGCGCTCGGCGCTCCCGCCCGGGGCCCGCACCCCGGACACTTTAAAAGGACCCAGGTGGCCCCGGAGGCGAGGTGACTGCCCCCCACCCTTCCCCTGCGCAGCGTCGCTCTGCCGCGGCCGCCCGGCCAGGGCCGAAGATGAGCGGCGGCCGCGTTGTCCCCCGACTTCCTTGGACGTGGGGGCCCGCGCGCCGACAGCTCGCACGCGGGTCCAGCCGGTTTCGCCTCGTTTTATTACATTTTGCTACTAATTAAAAAGCTGTGCGTTCACCTCGCCCCCGGCCTGCTCTTCTCCCAGCCTCTCCCCGCCGCCCCCGCGCCCGCGCCCGGCCCGCGTCCGCCCGCGCTCCCGAACCCGGCTCCTCCGAAGCCCCCTCCGGGCCCCGCCGCCCCCCGCGGGCCTCCCGGCCCCCGCCCCTCCCCTTCGCCCCCACCCCAGCGCTGCTGCTTCGGGCTTCGCGGCTCAAAAACAACAGCGGCGGCGCCGCCAGCTCCGCGCTCCGCCACTGCCCGGGCGGGACTCGGACCCGTCGCCCTCGGTCCCGCGCGGAGCCGCGGGCGCAGCGCGCCGGCCGGCAGCGCGGGCAGCAGACCGAACACCGCGCGCCCCGCACCTCGCCGCCCGGGGGCAGCCCCGCGCCCTCCTGCCTCCGCGGCCCCCAGGTGAGTACCCAACGGCGCGAGCGCCCGGGCTGGGCCACCTTCGGGGAGTGGGGCCTCTGGCCGCCCAGGTGCGTCGCGGGCGGGTGGGCCGGCGGAGCAGGTGGAGGGAGGAGCGCGGGCGGGAGCCGACCGGGTGCTTCTGCCCCGCAGCCCTCCAGCTCGGAGGCGCGGCAGCGGCGGGCTGGGCTGGGCTTGGGCCGGGAGTCCGGGCCCAGGAGCCTGGCGGGGACGGTTAGAACTCCTCGTCCGAGTCTGTCTGGGATTCGAGAATGAACTGGAAGCGCAGGCGCCCACCCCCAGCCCTGCCGAGCACCGGGGTTTGCCAGGCTGCAGAACCTGGACCTGCTGCAGAGTCAGTCGGAGCGCAGAGATCGTGCCCGCCTTGAGATCGATGCGGGGTCTCTGCCGCCGTGCCTGGGCTCCTCGCCGTGCCCCCCTTTGTTGTGCAGTGAGGCCGGTAGTGCCTCCACCCAGTCCTACGTTCGGAGCCCCTCGTCATAGCCATAAAAGAGGTGAACAGGCAACCGTCAAAGAGCTCACCCTAGACCCGGGGGTCCGAGCAGAGGGGTCCTAATGGCAAGAGGGGTACATGGCCAATGCTACCCCAGAGGAAAAGCTGGGCTTGGCAGGAGCCAGCGGTGGCCGTGCGCTGGGCCTTCCGCCTTGGCGGCTGGCAGCCACTTCCCAGATCGGATTCCACCCCCAGTGGAGCTCCCTCTGCGCCGGGCGCCCAGGCTCCCACTGCGCTTGCTGCCCCGGACGGAGTCTGCCCGGCGCTGATTCTCACCAACTGCCCCTCGGCTGTTTCTGGCCCTCGGTGAGTGTTGCCCGCGGCAGTGCCAGCTCAGAGAGCATCGGCAGCTCAGTCCAATTCCCACCCTACTTCAGAGCGCCCCCGGACACACACACACCCTGCCTCTATGTCCCCGTGGGCTACACGAAGAACCACTGGCCACCTAGGGTACCTGGGCCTTGCTGCTGGGCTCTCAGGGACGTGGGGGGGGGATCCCCATGGGGGACTAGGGCCTTGCTGAAGCCCGTAGCAGACTCAGAGCCCATTCATTCTCAGGTGGGGGTGGGGGGCAGTCTGGGACAGGAAGGAGGGGACCTGGAGCCCCATCTGGGAGCTGCCCTGCCTAACCCAGACAAGGCAGGCTCCAGCAGGCAGCCCGACCTGGCTGGGGTTTCTGGCCAGACAGCAATGCAAGGTCACCCTCACACCTCTGCACCCCAGGCCCCCGTTGCCCGGATTCTCCCAGCAAGGTGAGGTACGAGGCTTGTGGAAGAAAGAGTGGCTCCTGTGAGGCCCTATGGCCAACAGAGACTCCCCAGCCCCAGCCCCCACTGAGCCTCCTTTCCCTGCCCTAGAGGCAGCCATAGGCCCCATGGTAATGAAGTCCCAGCCTTCTGGAGGTGCCGCAGCTCCCACAGGCTCGCTCCCTCAGTTCAGAAGGTGACCAAAAGCACCTGAGCCCTGGCCAGGCTGGGCCACTTTGCATTCTCTGGGACTGCTTGGAGCCAGGGCCTGGGGACAGAGGGCAGGAGACTGGGGAGAGGGCCTGGTGGTGCTGTCCCCTCCTGGTCCCTGCTAGGACTGTGGGTGCAGGGACTGCAGCTCCAGGCCTGCCTGGAGAGGGGCATCTAGGGCTGAAGGATGGCCAGGGAGATAGCCCAGGGCCGCCACTATCAGGTGCCACCGCAGCTCTGGCTGGTGCTCTCATCAGCCCCAGTCAGTCCCCAAGGCCATGGCCGTGGCCAAGGTTGCGTCCTGTCCTAACCGGGCCCTGCCCCCGCGTGGCCAGACTTAGTACAGAGAGCAGACCTGGCCTTGCAGAGTCCCGAGAAGAGAAGGGTGAATCGGGGAGAGCAGACGCAGGTCCTGCTGGGCACCCAGCTCTGCGTCCTACCTGGCAGACACCTGGGGATCTGGGGAAACAGGCATGGGGCAAGTGGGGGCCCAGAATAAGTAGGGGTTCAGTGAGAAGAAGGAGAGTTTTCATCTTATCTATATGAAAAGGTTTTAATGCAATTAAGGGGCATTTTCAAACTGATCCTAGCTCGGGGGAGCCTTGCGGTAGGGGCAGGGCTTCCGGGACCCTGCACTGGGTAGGGGGAATTGCTGCCCACCCCGTCCCTGGTGACCTCCTCAGCCTCCAGCTGTGATTGTCAGAGGCTCATGCGGTGCGGGTTGGCTGCGTGGACATGTCCTACAGGCTAGGGAGTTTTGCAACTGACTTTTTGGCTGGGGTCTGGGGGAGTGGGAGGGACTTTTACCACCACCTCTTTCTATACGCGAGTGCCTGTCACCCCAGCCTTGCCTGTTTCCAGACTTTCCAGCAGGCAGGGAGATGGGGCTGGACACCCACCCTCACATGAACTCCTCTGGGAAGAGGCTGGGTTTGGGAGCTGGAGTAAAATTGGCCCTGCTCCTATCTTAGTGTGTAAGTAAAGGTGGTCCCCAACTCCAGGGCTTCCCCGAGAAGCCCATGAGTAGGAAAACCGAACTGGGGCCTACCATGCACTCCCGGGTCCAATCAGGTTGGCGCTAGAGGGTCACTTTGCTTGGCAAGGATCTGTGCCCTATGCCAACGCACAGAAGCTGGCCTCTGTGGAGAAGCCGGGCCTGTGCATGGCCCAGCCTGTGAGGATCAGGGCCTGCGTGCTGCATCGCCCAGGCCTGCAGGCCCCACAGTGCCTGGCTGCAGACTACGTGCTGGGAGGTAGGAAGCCGATGGATGTCCTAACCTGGGCAGGTTTCCTCCGTGCTGCTCTCGGGTTCCCTAAACTTGGCCAAGGACTAGAAGGCACTCATTCTAGGCTCCATAGGCTTCTGGGTCAATTTTTGCTCACCCTCGGGTTCCTGCTGAGAACTCAAGATTAGCTAAGAGAATAAAGCTAATCGCCTTAGTTTACATGAACCGGAACTGCCTCGGGAGGGGCCCAGACCCGCAGCGCTAGCTTACCCTGCTCCCACCACCGGTCACTGAGTCAGGCTGGGCTGGAGGTCCTCTCTGGGCACATTCTCCTGTCTTATGCTAGGTGGAAACATCTCCTAGTCAGATTCGAGCTACGGAAGGCAGGAGGCCATGAGTAACGCTTAGGGACAAACCAGTTTGGTTCCCACCACACAGAGAAAACCAAGCGCCCAGCAGGGGACTCGGTGGGGACTGAACGCTGGCAGAGGTTTAATGCCAGGGGCGGTAGCTTGCTGGAGTGTCAGGTCTGAATGTGGGGGGAAGTGGGGCATGACAACCCCTAGGGCCATTTCTACCCCAGGGATGCTTCCCACAGCTCCAGACTGGGGCCACGGGAGCCAACACGGGCTCTGGAGGCCACATTTAAGGGTCCTTTTCCCTCCTCTTCCTGCCCCTTGCCCAGGGAGACTCGCTGTGACCCAGATACTTTTGGAGGACAGAAGGATACAGCGTGGATTTCTGGCCCAGCGAGTTCAGAGCCTGTGTGGCGAGGTCCTTCCCTACCTGCTCAGTGCGGAGGCCTCCCGGCGTCCACAACCAGCCCCTGGTTCTGAAGCGGTTCTCCAGAGGGTTGGGGCGCTCCCAGCCAAGACTTCCCAGGAATGTGAACCATGTAGCAGATATAGAACAAACCCCAGATGTTTGGAAACCTACTTCCTTCTGGGGCAGGAGGACGTTGTCCCTCTCCGACGCGTGGCCCCAGGGAGTGTCCAGCCGGGGGTCCGCACCCTGGAGTCGGGCTGGGGCGAGGACCTCTCGGGAGGGCGAATGGGAGCGTGTCTGCACCTGGGCTCCGCCAAGTGCATGGGATGGGGGCCGTCATCAGTTTGGTTTTGTTTTTTAACTTGGAAGAGGGAGGCTGTGGGCCAGGACCCCGGCTGGGCCTGGGAGGGAGGGCGCTGGGTGCAGCATCCCGCCCCAAACCGGCTCTTTAAGTGCAGGAAGCCCCCAGAGACTTCGTCCCCGCGGCGCACGGTGGGCCGGGACCAAGTCTCCGCCAGTCCGCGGGGCCCCAGCCGCCGCGCGGGCCTCCGGCTGCTGCCCAGAGAGCAGCGAACGGAATCGGTTTCCCACGCCTTCCCTCGCCATCTCAGGACCTTAAAAAATCCACCAACGAATCCGGTTGTCCGCTGTGCGCTCATCTGGAGCGCGGCGCTTGTCTGGCACCCCAGCCGCCTGCGCTGCCCTGAGCCGGGGACCCTCGCGCAACCCGCCCCGCGGGGCCGCCCGCCTGCGCACGCTGGGAGCGACCTCGTTCCGGGCCTCCAGCCCTGCGGCGCCCGCGGAGCTCCGCACGGCGGAGGTGGCGCTGCGGCCGCCCCGGAACGCTGCCCGCTTGGACGCGGCCGCCGCTTCTTGCTCCCGGTTCCCGCCGCGCGGGCCGGCCTGGCAACAACGAAAACGGCGAGCCGCGTGGCTTTCCTGGCGGCCCGGTCCCAGGATCCGCCGGGTGGGCGTCCGCTCTCCGCCTTCCGGACCGCCACGGAGGACAGGGCGCCGGCGGGGCGCCTGCCAGCCCGGCAGACTCCCCACACAGGCTTGCGCCGGATCCGCATCTCCGCCCGCGAAGCCCCGTGCTTGGCCGTGGTCCCGGCCCGCACGCAGCCTGACCTCTCCGTCTGGAGGCCAAATTTCGCCTTTGATATTGGGGCTCCACACACCTCAGAGGTGACCCGCAGATGGAATCCCACTGCGACATAGTCTCTGCGCCCCAGTTTCCCTGTCTTTGGGGCCAGAGACTCCTGTGCCCTCACGGATTTATGTGGGGTCGGCGGGATAACGGGGGATGGAGGCCTCCAGCCCGAGGCCCCAGGGCAGCCCACCCTTCCTACACGTTTGCGAGGTGGGGTTAGGAAGTACCCGTGCGGGAGGAGCCCAAGGTCGCTCTTGAGCAGCCTGTTCCTGTCCTGCTCTCCCTGCCAACCCCTTTGCCCCTGCCACCCATCCGGGAGCCGTCCCAGCCCAGGGCCCATGCACCTCCTCAGAGCCCGGGCGGGGTTTTGCCCCGGCGGGTCCCTCAGCTTCCTGGGGCTCAAGAGGCAGTGAGGTTTAACATCAGGCTCCAGTTCCCGCGGGGCAGCCACCCTGCACCCCAAATCCCACAGAGGCTGGGCGCTGGGCCTGGCAGGGAAGGACGACAGGTGACAGGGACCCTGGTCCCAGCTGAGCTCTAGGAGGGTTCGCGCCCCCTCCCCAGCCTGCCCGGGACTCCGCGTGTTTCGGTGCTCCAGGGCCCGTGGGCGTGTCCGGGCAGGTCTGGGCGGGACCCTCCAGGCGTGACCTTGGGCTGCGTGGTCAGCCATAACCTACCCTGCTGGGTGGCGGGGCTGGGGTTAGGGGAGCGAGGGGAGGGAAGGACCGAACAAACCTTACAGGCTGCCCCCTGCTTCTGGGCAGGACCCACAGGGGAGGGGTGAAAGGCATGGAGGTGGTCAGGTGTCCAAGTGGAAACCTCCCCCGCGCCCGCTCCCCTTGGCGTGCTAAGCTAAACCCATAATGGTCAGCCATCCGTGCAGACACAGTTCCCTGAGATGGCAGGAGAAAGGCAGAGACCAGGACCGCCCCAGGCAGGAAAAAATTACCTCTCCTGCTGAGTGACCCAAAGGTGATGGGCCCGTCAGTCAACGGGGCGTCGGGGGCAGGGCCTCCTGCTCCCGCCCCAGGCACCCGAGACCCTGCAGCTCTAGGAAGAGAGTTCTGGCTCGGGTGCCGGCTGACAGGGCTTCCCCACATGCATGCAGGGGCTACTGAACACCTCCACCCTCCTTCCCTCCCACATCCAGAAGTGAGGCCCCCCCATTGCAAGAGCATGGCTTGAGTGGCAGGACAGACCTACACACAGCCCACACCCCCTGCAGCCCAGGCAGGAGCTCTGTGTGCCAGCGTGGGGATGTGGGTGAAGATGGCATGGTCCTGGGCTTGAGCAGCCCCTCATCCATGTCCCCCACCCCATGATATCAGTGGAATTACAATGGGAATGCGGGGGGAGGGTAGCAGAGGGACTCTCCCTGCACACGCTGCTTCCCTGCTCCCCCCATGCACATGTGCCCTGGCCACCACTCCCTGCCCAGGTCCGGTGGACAGCTAGGAGGGGGTAGTGAAGATGGGGAGCTTTAGCTTAGCCAGCCCACCCCCACTCCCTCCGGGACCCTGGGTCACTGGCGTGCTCCTAATGAGTGCTGGGGGCAGAGAGGTGCGGGGAAGTGGGGCAGCTGTGTGTAGGGGAAGGTAGTTATTGGGGCACAGACTGTTGGCAGCGGGGTGCCCTGCATCCTCTGACTCCTTTCCCAGAACCCGGTTCTGTTCCTCGAGATTCTGAGTTGGATTCATGGAGGAGAGCTACCCCTCCCTGGCTGGCCACAGAGGGCAAGGAGGGGCAGGACAGGGCAGAACAGGGCTCCTGGGAACTGCAGGTCAGGCCCCACCCTCTTGACCTTGGCTGGCCCTACTCTTGCCTGGTCAGAATGGAGGTCAGCTGGTCTCCAGGCACCTGCAATCCGTGCTGCTCACAGGTCTGCTGCATGGACCAGTGAACAACCCCTGATCTCTACGGCCTGATTTCAGCCCAGGAGGGGAGATGGAGGGGATGAGGGGCAACCTCCTGGGACATCCCCATGGCGGCAGTAACCCTTGTTGAGAGCCCAAGGCCGAGCCACCTGGCCTTCATCTGTCTCTATCTGCCCTTCATTCAACAGCCAGAGCCAGCCCCATGCGATGGGGACCAGCAGTGAGCAAGCCACCCAGGGCCCCTGCTGCATGGCACACGATTTGGGAAAGGAAGCAGACTTTTTCATGGTGGGCGGTGGGGCTCAGCAGGATGCTGGGCACGGGGGGCAGCAGTGGCAGAAAGAGCTTCCCAGGGAGGAACTCTGCTTTTCCATGCTATTCCCTGGTCCGAGGCACAGAGCCCGGGTGGCACTGGGTGTCTATGCTAAGCAGGGGATTTGCGGGTGTCCAGCTTGCCTCCCACCCTGGACTGCATGGCAGTGCCTAGTGACCCTCACAGCAATCTCATGGGGTAGGGACGGTGTAATGATGCTCTGGGGGGCAAGTACCTGCAGAGGCAGGAGGGTAAGACGGGCTGGCTGCACAGCCCTATGCCAGGTGACTCACGCAGCAAGACAGCGCTCCACAGGGTGGGCGCATGGCAGGGGCGCTGCTGCCAAGGGATCTCTGTCTGGGACCCTTTCCTGGGTTCCATACAGTGCCCAGAGAGTGGGCTCCAGAGGGTGCACTGGCTTGTGGTCATCCACATGCTCCTCACCGTGACTGAGGCACTTATTTGCCTATGTCCAGAATGACTCAGCCATTTTGGGTTCGTATTCCCTCACAGTGCAGCTCTTTCTGGGGAGTCAGGAGCCCCCTTCCTTCCCAACACTTGCCCTCAGGGAGGCCATCCCAGAACTTTTCTGTGGCCATCCCCAGGGGGCAGGCTCCACACCCCATCCAGTGGCTTTGGGGGCCCAGTTTGGGGCTAACATGCCAAATAAGTCATCTGGGCTTCTAGTAAGGCATTTCCAATCATAAAGTGTGTCATTTAAAAAATATATGTGTCGTTTAAGCGTGCATAGAGCTTGGACCCCATGGGACATAGTTGTTCTAATAAACACGAATAAGCCAGTTTTCACATTAGAGAAATAACAGTTTCTAGTAGAAATGTGGTGCTTTTAAAAGAGGTTAATTAATAAACAGCAGGTAATTGTTCGTGGCACATTGTGGCAGAAAGTAATTTTCATTTTAGAGGATACAAGGGCCAAATGCCCCTCCCCACTCAGCATTTTTGTGTAATAATCACCTTGGCTTCACCTCTGCCTTTAATTTTTACAGCTGGAGCTGTTTATCATCACTCCAACTTTCACTAGAAAGCAAAAACTATCACTTAAACAAAGCCATTGAAAACCCAGCATCATATGTGGGTTTCTTAACATAAATAAATCATACAAACCAAGATTTATATTCTCCAAATGATGTCATTCATTGAAGGCTGCCTTCCCAATCGGATCAGCGTTCAGTGATTTTCCTCATGTGTGTAGGCTTTTTTGCAGAATAAGAAAAGCTGCCCTAGCGCCCATGCTACTCTTTTTCTCTGCCTGGCCCAGGACATCAGAAAGGTCTCTCCCTGGGTCAGCTGAGCAGAACTGGCTTTAAATGGTGAAAACAGTTACAACTCTGCAGACGGCTTTAAAACTTTGCTTTTGAACCATACGTTCTGAGGTTGAAAGTCTGCTAAAGCTTCTGGGAGAATTTGTGCAGACCCCAGCAGAATTGAAGATCCTCTGGGCCCCCCAAGCCCGCAGTGAGTCTAGTGGCAGCATATTCACATCGAAATGAACGAGGAACATGAAAATCACCATGAATGGGTAAATGAGATGTGGTCTGTCCATATCCTGGAGGAATAATTTGGCCATAAACAGGAATGAAGTACTGACATGTGCTACAACATGAATTAACTCAAAAACATTTTTCTCAGTGGAAGAGGCTGGTCATAAGAGGTCATGTATTGTATGATTCCATTTATGTGAATGGATGGGTGAATCCATAGAGACAGAAAACAGATTAGTGATTGCCAGGGCCTGGGGGCCAGGGCAGGGGGAGTGACTTAACGGGCTTGGGGCCTCATTCTGGGAAGATGAAAGGTGCTGGAACTATGTAGTGGTGGTGGTTGCCCCACATTGTAAGTGTGCTCAATGCCACTGAATTGTACACTTTATTATTTTTTTTAATTGACATATATTTGACTATAATATTATATTGGTTTCAGGTGTACAACATAGTGACTTGACAGTTATATACTCACCAGGATAAGTATAATTTCTGAATTCTACACTTTAAAATGATGAATGTTATATGCTTATATCTCAATAAATCTATTATTAAGAAGTCACTACTGAGCATGCTGGTTTAAAAAGCATTATGCTCATCTTTAAAGCTTCTTTTTAAATTTGGAGTTGAGCATAAAGCTTGAAGAGTGTGTAAGACACACATGCCCACCTGAGTGTGTAAGGTGAGACTGGCCCCAGCGCCAGTGAGGCCGGGAGCTTCAGAGCTCTCTGTGCAGCTCCCTTCCCTGACTGCACCCCCTGCCCACCAGCTCAGAGGGAACTGCTCCCCAGGCTTTTGTTAGCCATCTCCTTGACTTGGTTTACAGTTTTGCCACCTAGTAAAGATCCCTAGAACTGTGAGTCTAGCTGCAGAAGCTCGATCATCTTGAAATGAGGGAGGAACCGCCAGATCACTGCCAGTGGGCACGTGGCATGTGATGCCCCACCCAGCAGCTTGTTATTTGACCACGAAAAGGAATGAAGCACCGACATGTGCTGCGATATGGACGAGCCTGATGAGCATCATGCTCAGTGGAAGGAGCCAGACCCAGAGGCCACTTGCCATCTGATTCTGTTTATGTGACGTGTCCTGGGTAGGCAAATCACAGAACAGGAAAGCAGATTGGTGGCTGCCCTGTTCTAGAAGGAAAGGCAGTGGTGTCCTGGGTTGGGGACCTGAGTCTGGCTGCAACCCTTGGACGCTGACAGGGGATACCCAGTCGGAAGCCTGCAGGAAAACAGGGCCGGCCCGTTGCGGCACAGGCCTTTTATTCACTCAAACAGCACAGATTCATTACACACCCACTGTGCGCCAGCACAGCCACAGCCTCCAAGGATACAGCAGTGACCAAAGCCGAGAAGAGCCTCTCCTCCACCAGGAGCTCACCTCCTCACAGGGAAGGCGGCCAGAACCGAGACACACAAGAACCTGGCCAGCGGGTCTGGAAGTATGCACGCTGCGGAGACTGACCGCAGAGGGCGGACAGGTGAGGAGTGGGCTGAGGGTGGCTGGGGGAGACCTCTCCGGGGTGGTGGCATTCGAGCAGGTGTGAGAGAGTGAGGAGGGAGCCATGTGGCATCTCGGGAACAGCATTTGGGCAAAGAACATCCAAGGCAGAGGCCCTGAAGCAAAAGCATCCGGTGTGGCTGGAGCAGAAGGATGGAGGGGGGAGAGCAGTAGAAAGTCCATGTGGAGGGGGCAGTGGGTGAGGGAGTGCATGTCACAGTTGTAGACAGATGGAGTCAAGTTGGTTCATTGGCTGATTCTCAGACAGGGAGATAGTCTAGGATGATACCTGTGAGCCCTGTGGAATCACAAGGGTCCTTACCTGTGGTAGAGGGGGGCAAAAAGATTTAACTGGCCTTCCTTGCTGGCCTTGAATATGAAAGGTTGTCCTGAGCCAAGACACGAGGGTGGCCTCCAGAATACGGGAAAGACGAGAGAATGTATTCTAGACCCTCCAGAAAGGAAAGTAGCCCTGCTAATACCTTGATTTTCTCCCAGTGGGACCCATTTCAGATTTCCAATTAGCAGAACTATAAAATTATAAAATGGCTTCTTTAAGCCACCAAGTCTGTGGTAATTTGTTACAGCAGCCACAGAAAACGAAAGAGGGAGTGGGCAGGAACTTCATCCGTGCATAATCAACACAAGCCAGATCGTGACAAGGGTCTGAGCAAGGTTCTCCCAAACTAAAGCAGAGGCTGGTAACCACAGAGATACTGGTAATGGTAATTCTCACATCTGACACCTCAGTCACTCTGCCCCAATATGGACTGGTTGCCCTCGGTGTCCACCCCAGGTCATCACCTTAGGAGCTGCATGTGTCTGCTGGAGGATGCCTTTGGGTCTCCTGTTCCCTAGTGCATATATTTTCTTGACTTACTTTCTCATTTCGGTGAAGCACATCCTCAAGTAACTTCTGATAAACTGGGAGCTACATGTTTTAGGACCTCATGTGTCTGAAGATGCCCTTGTTCTTCCACCATCCCAGAATGATAGTTTGGCTGGGCATAGAATTCTAGATCGGAGATGTTAGTCATCCAGAATCTTAAGACTGCTGCCTTATTATCTTCTTGCTTCCAGGATAGGTGCTGAGAAATCCGAGAGATTCAGTTTCCTTACGCTTCCTGTGTGATTTCCGTTCTCATCTTTGGGATCTTACAGAATCTTCTCTTTGTCCCAAATGTCCCCCTGTTTCACAGTGACGCACCCTGGAGTGTGTCTTTTTCATTAACTATGGGTCTTTCAAACTGGAAGCTGTGTCCTTCAGCTCTGGGAAATATTCTTGAAATACTTTGTTATTGATTTTCTTTCCACTGTTCTTTGTTTATGGAAACTGATAGGATGAAGTTTTCTGCCCGCACCCAGAACACTCCTTGGTTCTTTCCGGGTCTGGGGTAGCCAGAACAGCTGCCCCTGTTCCTCCCGTACCAGCCTGGGTGAAGTTGGGCCTGCCCTCCTGCCTCTTGTTTGTGGGCACATGAGGACTCAAGGGTTTGCTCAGCAAGGCTGCAGCTGTGCCTGTGGCCAGCCAGGAGGGGGCCGTGGCCAGGAGAGTGGAGGAATCTGGTGGGTTCCCAGGCCTGGCCCAGGAAACAAGCCTTTCTCCCTAGCAATGGGGGTGGCTGTCTTGCATTCAGTCACTGGAAGCTCTCTGTGTCCCCTGCCACCAACTCTTTCCAGGCTGCCTCCACCACTCACCTCCACTCTTTACTGGAAAAGACTACTTTCCTCCTAGGTAAATGCCTACCCCCAACCCCCAGCCAACCCTCAGCTGTCACTCAGAGGGTAGTCTTCTTGTCTGTCTAATTTTCCTTTATTCTCCAGGTCCTAGTAGACAGGGTGGCACATGGAAGATGATCAATAGTTTTGGATGGATGGATGGATGGATATATGGATGAAGAATGGACAGACAGATGGATAGATGAGTGGAATCATGGTAAATGGATGCATGGTTGGAGAATAGATGGATGTGTGGACCCCCTGCCCAATCAACTGAGGAAACAGAGTTTAACGATAAAATGGAATGAACTTGAGAAACTGAGGCCCAGCAGCAGGTGGGTGGGAGGGTGGAATAATTTGCTCAAGGTCATGGTGTACATTGGCAACAGTGCTGAGCCGGGACCCCAGACCTCTGCTGTCCACATCCAGCTGCCCGTGGTCATAAATTCCACCTTGACAAGAGGTGGGATCCATGCTTTGTGTCTGCCTTTGGCCCCAGGGTGGAGCCCCCAGGCTCTGCTCTGATCCTCACCTCCACTCACCTGCGCCTGTAGGAAGCATGGTTCCCCAGTCTGTCCTTCCTGGCCTTGCGTCCCTGGGCACAGGATCAGGAAAGGAAAGATGATGCCCACCTCAGAGGGTTGCTGCTCAGAACAAATAAGATGATGGTCTTGCAGGGACTGGATGGATGGTGGTCATGTGAGATCGGTGTCCTGCCCCCACCAGACACTGTATCCTTTGCTGCTTGTTCTGCCTTAAGCATCCCCAGAGACATCTGAATGGCCCCTGCTCCTTGTCATCTTCCTAATGCTCCACTGAACATGCTCTTCCAGTTCACTCTTAAAGATAGGCATGCCCCCTCCACGGCCATGCTGATTCCCCCGAATGGAATCTGGCTGGACCACTGTGTCAGAAGAAGTCTCCAGTCCAGTATGTTCCAAGGTGGGCAGGAGGCCCGGGGAGGTGTCCTGGAGTAGCATCCTCCATCCATTCACCTTTTTTGCACGCCCTCCCCCTGTCCCAACATACAACCACACGTTTCCTGTGACGTTGGGCACAGCCATCCCCACGGTGCGCAGCCCCACTCCACTATGCTCCCCTTTGGGTGGGTCCTTGAAGCCGGCCTCTTAGGGCCTGGACGAGCCTCTGACCCTGTTCTGCAGAGGGAGTAACAATGAGTCTGGCCAGGGTCCTCCTAGACCCTCCTTGGTTTGGGGTCTTGGGACCACCCCTGAGGGACAACTCAGGCTGTCTTCCTATAACCAGGCACTGTGGCATGGGCTGGGGCTGTCTTCAGCTGTGGGCTCTGCTGGGCATTGCACACCTGCCCCATGGGCTTTGGCCTTACAGGGGACTTCATGACCCACAACGGTTCCCTGTGGAGTGGCCTTGGGCTTTCTGTAAATGAAGCGTTGCACGAACAGCTGCCCTGGGCTCTGGGGTTTTTATGGGTTTGCCTTAAAGATTTTATTTCCAGAAAAAACCAAAAGCAATTAATCCAAATTACAGAGTAGTCATTTATAATAATATTTGCTTTAAATATATGTATTTTCAAAAACCCCTAAGCTGTGAGCCTCCAGTGAGTTTGAGGTGAAGGACACCTTGAAATAATTACATTTTTTGCTCATTTTATGTTGTGAAAATGGCTTAGTCGATTTGGGAGAAAATTGTAAAATAGTCAGCTGACTCCCTTATAAAGGCAACGTTATTTTTTTTTTCTTCGAACTCTGCCAGAATAACCACACTGTGATCGTTTACCCTCATGCCTCAAAGGTAGACTTCTTCCAAAGGTGCCCCAAATGTTGGGCCAGCTGCCTGTCACCTCAACCCTGGCCAGCAAAAGAGTGACGCCCCTCCCAGAAGTACACCTGGTGAGTGGCATTTCCCAGTGTCCAATGTCCAGCATGATGGGGCCCACGTGCTGGCGGACAAGCCAGCCACACCTCTTGGGTGGATGGGAGGGAGGGGACCGATGGTTCACCTGTCCCCTCTGTCTTGGTGATGACTGGGGACCTTGCATGAGTCCAGCCCGGCCCACCTCAGACCCTCTAGCCAATGAGCATGCCTGATGCGAGGCTTAGATGCTTGGAAAATGGGAATTCACTAAAGGATTAAATCATGCTCCATACAACGGAACGCTCAGCTGTGCTGGGTCAGGATGCCTGGTTCTGGGGCCAGGGCGGCCACTGAGTATCCAGGGACCTTCCCTTCCATTCCCCAGACTTTTCATCATCCAATGGCTCCTCCCCACATACCCGATTTGTCCGTAAGTTCTCCCCGTACTTGACTTGTCTTTTCATTTTCTTAGCAGTGACTTATGAGGAAGAAACTTTGTAATTTGATCAATACTATTTTCTTTTCATTTATAACTTGTGCTTATGTTTCTGTCTTGTTTTAAAAATCTTTCCCTAACCTAAAGTCACCAAATTTTCTATTATGCTTTATCTGAAAGTTTTAATTTTAATTTTAATTTTTGAATCTGGAATCTGCTTTGAGTTCACTTTCTTTAGGGTTTTTTTGTTTTTGTTTTCTTTTCTTTTGTTTTTTGGTCTGGTGTGAGCTACGGGTCGAAATTTATTTCTTTGCATCAGTGTCCAATTATTCAGCATCATTTGTTGAAAATTCAATGATTTCCCCCATTCAGTTGCCTTGGCAACCTTGTCAAAAATTAATTGACCAAATAGGTGTGGGTCTATTTGTGAATTCTCTGTTCTGTTGACCTGTGTATTTATTCTTTTGCTAATACCACACTGTCTTGATTACTCTAGCTTTATAATAAGTCTTAAGATTGTAATGTAAGTTTTTTTAACTTTTCTCTTCTTTTCCAAAATTGGTTAGGCTATTTAAGGTTCTCTGTGTCTCCACATAAATATTAACACTAGCTTGTCAATTTCTATAAGACAACATTCTGGAATTTTTTTAATTGCTATTGCATTGAATCCATAGATCAATTTCAGGAAAATTGTCCTTCTACTAGCAATGAACACTCTACTCCATGAACATGGTATATCTCTCAATATTATATATTTAGATCTTTAATCTCTAAAACTCAATATTTGGTAGTTTTTAGTTAAATTAATTGCTAAATTTCTATTTTTTTTTCTATTGTGTTTTTTAAAATTTCAATTTCCAATTGTTCATTGCTGGCATGTAGAAATCCAATTAATGTTTGTACATTGGACTTTTGTACATTGTAATCTTACTAAACTCACTTACTAGGCCTTTTTTGTAGTTTCTTTGGATTTCCTGAATAGACAAACATATATCTGCACCCATTTCTTAGGTTAGCATTGGTAGTTTGTCTTTTTCAAGAAATGTATCCCTTTCACGTTAGTTTTCAAATGAACTGGTGCACAGTTGCTCATAACATTCCCTTAATGCCCTTTTACAGTTTATAGGCTTGGTAGCTATGTCTCCTCTTTCATTTCTGACTTTGGTAATTTGTATACTCTCCCTTGCTGATCAGTCTGACTTTTGAGTTTCTAGTGGTTCTTCTCTATAATTTTCTTGTTTTCTATTTCATTTATCTTCGGTCTTTATTATCTTGTTCTGCTTACTTTGGGTTTAATTTTTCTTCTATTTATGTCTCCTTCAGGAGGGAGCATATATTATTGATCTGAAATTTTTCTTCTTTTCTAGTATAAGAATTTAACATTACAAGTTGTCCTCTAAGCACTGCTAAATTGTATCCTACAAGTTTCAAAATATCGTATTTTCATTTTTATTCAGTTGAAAATATTTTCTAATTTCCTCTGTGATATTTTTCTGAGCCATGAATGACTTAGAAGTGTGTTGGTTAGTTTCCAAATATTTGGGGACTTCCAAACACTGCCTGTTATTGATTTCTAGTTTAATTCTCTTAGAGTAAAAACAAGCACACTTTCTATGATTTCAGTCCTTTTTAATGTATTGAGGCTTGTTTTATGTCTCAAAATATGGTCTCTCTTGATGACTTTCATGTACACATGGAAAGAATGTATATTTTGCTGTTGTTAGGTATGTATATATGTAGAATCACTATGTTCTCTTGAAGAACTGACTCCTTTATTATAAATGAGTGCCCTGCATTATCTATGGTGATATTTCTTATTCTGAAATAAACCTTTATTTATGTTAAGATGGCAGCTCCTGCTTTCTTTTGATTGGTGTTTACATCATGTATCTTTTCCATCCTTTTACTTTTAACTTATCTGTGTTTTTATATTTAAAGTTGGTGTCTTATAGACAGCATATAATTGAGTCTTGACTTTTCTTATCCAGTCTGACATTTTCTGCCTTTTAACTGGAATGTTTAGACCATTTACACTTAATGTGATTGTGTATATGGTTGGATTTAAACCTACCATCTAATGATTTGTTTTCCTATTTGTCTAATTTCTTTGTTGTTTTGTTTTCCTGCCCTCTTGAATTAAATAAATGTTTTCAAGTGCCCATTTTATCTCCAACATGGGCTAATTAGGAATACCTTTTCTCTAGTGATTGATCCGGAGTTTGCACTATACATCTTCAGCTGATGAAAGTGACCTCAAATGATGTTATACCACTTCACATACAGTGCAAAGCCATACAGCAGTGTGCCTCCATGTCCCCTTTTCTGTCTTTTGTGTCATTGTCATAAGTTTTTACTTCATTATCTTATAAATCTTTTAATACATTATTTTCCTTGGAGAAGTTAATTATATTTTAAATTTTTTAAAATTAATTTAAATTCTCTTATATTTACCCATGTATTTATCATTTCTTCATGTTTCTCTATTTCTCTATTTTCATTTTTTATTTATCTGTTTCCAACTGGTATAATTTCCTTCTGGGTAAAGAGTGCTGTTTAATATTTATTGTTGTGCTGGTCTGCTGACCATAAATTCTCTCAACTTCTATTTTGACTGAAAATAATTCATTTTGCCTTCATTTTTAAGAAGTTTTTTGTTGGGCATTGTATTCTACATGGACAATTTTCTTCCCTTAGTGCTTGAAAGAAATATCACCATGTCTTATGGCTTGCATAGTTTCTAGTGAGAAATTTATTTAGAAATTAATCTATCATTTGTATCTAATGAATCTTGTATTCTCTGGCTGTTTGTGAGGTTTTCCATATTTCACCTTAGCAATTTGATTGTGATATACTTTGGTATGGTTTTCTTTCTTTCTTTTTCTGCTTGTAGTTCCTTGAGATCCTTGTATCTGTGAACTTAAGTCAAATTTTTAATATTTTGAGCAACTACTTCTTCAGATACTTTTCTGCCCTTTGTATGCTCCCTCCCCTCAGGGATTCCAACGGCACGTAGGTCAGATCGCTTCCTGTTACCCCAGTGATCACTTTTTACTTAGGTCGCTTTTTTCCATCATTTTTCTCTGTGTATCATTTTGCATTATTGTTATTGCTCTCTTAAAAGATCCCATCAGTCTTTTCTAAAATATTCTCTGCAGTATTTATCTCACCTGCTGTTAATCCCATTCAGTGTATTTTTCTACTTCAGATAACACTTTTTTCATCTGTAGAAGTTCAGAAATAGCTTCTATTTCCCTCCCCATCTATTTACATTTTCCTCTGCCTTTTTGATAGTATAGATTATACTCATAACAGCTGCCATAATCTTCATTTCTTGTATTTCAATTATTTCATTCCAGGGCCTATTTATAATTATTGGTTTTTCTCTCCGTCATGGGACATATATTCCTGCTTCTTTTCATTCCTGGTAATTTTTAAAACCTATTTATTTTATAATTTTACTCTTAAAGAAGTTTCAAAAGGGCACACAGAATTCCAATATACTCTTTGTTCAACTGGTCATGATGTGAACGTCTTACTTAATCCTAGTACCATTGTGCAAACCAGGAAATTCGCACTGATTCCACACTATCAACTTATGACAGACTTCATTTGACTATCACCACCTGTGAATATCTGGGAGACTCTGATAAAAGGTAGGAATCAAAGTCCTCACCTCAAAATAGAGCCTTATGCTGGGACGGTTTACAGGTGAAGTCTGTCAAGGGACAGATAATTATTTATCTTATATGAAGTTTTCTGGGAAATAATAATAGGGGGAAAATGACCCATTTGATTTTAAGAGACTGGTGTAAGTTTGGTTCCAAATCTGAAAAAGGGCAACAAAAGAAAGGAAAGTATGGGCCCATTTTCCTTATAAACACAGACAGGACAATTTGAATAAAATAGTAGCTGAATGGATCCAACAGTGTGTTTTAAATACACATTCATCAGAGCCAATAAAGTTAAAAAGACCAATGAATTTGAATGTTGACAAAAATGTAGGGTAGCCAACACGCTTATATAGTATTGATGGGGTATTTGGGGGAAAGATCTGGTAGTTTCTTATAAATCTAAACACATAACTACCCTCTGACCCAGAAATCCCATTTCAAGGTGTTCACCCAAGAGAAAAGAAAATGTCCACAAAACAACTTGCACAGTTGAGGGGTCTTCCTGGTGGGATTGTCCTGCACCTCCAGCAGGGCTTGGGGTGTGTAAATGGGAGCATTTGGCAGTCAGTGTATGCAAATTTTACTTCAAAATTTAAGAAAGGACCAGGCAGAAATATTTAACTCTAGTTACTGATGTACAAACTGAACTGTTCAGGGGAAAGGGAGTAGAGGTTTGCAACTTTTACCTTGAAATGCATCTAAAAGAAACAAAATGCACACCACATAGTGATTATAGACAGTAGCACTATATTATCTGCTTCAAAGTTGCTAAGAGACTAGATTTTAATTGCACCCACCACAGAAAAGAAATGGTAATTATGTGGGGTTGATGGAGGTGTTGCAACACATTAAATGTATCAGATCAACACAAATGTCATAAACTCCCAAAGGTTATGGTGTTACAGCATTATAGCTCAGTAAAAATAAGTTAAATAATATTTTTAAATAAAAAAGCAAAATTGGTAGATGGAAAAAGGGATGGATGAATGGATAGATATGTGATAAAGCATGTTTAGCAAAATACTAATGTAAGTGGTATAAAATATTAGGAAATTTTATCATTAATATGTTAATCTAAATGGTGGATGTACAGGTGTTCACTGTGTAATTCCACTTGTCTATGTGTTTGAAATTTTTTTGTAATAAAATGTTAGTAAAGATACATCATGATCAAATATGCTTTTTTTTCTGGGAATGCAAAGATGGTTTCAATTCAGAAAATTGATCAATTTACACTAAGGGTCTAAGGAAAAAATTTATAGTTACAAAAAAAGTTCTTGATAACAGTTAGCATTTACTATCTTTCTAAAGGCTCTCCAAAAACTAGGAAATAGAAAGAAGCTTGCTGAGCTTGATAAAGGTGGCTTTCAAAAAACCTACAGCGGGTTTTTCACTGAATGGGGTTTGGAAGCATTCCCTCTGGGATCAGGCGATACCTGTCCCTCTGCCACTGTTCAGGGCAGCCTTGTGGCCCCGCGGCCTCAGCCACGGGCAAGCTCGGCATTAGATCTTTAAGTTGAAAGGAAGGAATTAACCCATCACTATTCATAAGAATAAAAGTCAAATAAGAATAAAAATCAAAAGAAAGATCATCTACGTAATGGTCATCTATACAAAAATCCTCAATGACTAATAGGCAAACAACATCAACAACAGAAAAATAGAGTTCAGTAAGATTCTAGATAAGATATCAGTCCACAAAAATACTGGTATTCCTGCACATCAGCAATAATCAGAGAAAGTAATGAAAAATAAGATGCCATTCATGTGAGCAGCAAAATCCCCCACGTGTCTAGGAATTAGTCTCATTCACGACGCTTTTCAGGAGAATGCTTTATTTTCTGTTAAAGAGCACAAAAAAAGACACATAAGAGGAAACACGTTCATGGGTGGAAGACAACTCAACATTTTAAAGACAGCAGGCTCTGTTTAATCTTTAGTCAATTCAATTCCAATTGAAATCTCATCAGATGTCCAAAGGACCTGACGTGTCCCAGCATCAATGTGGTTGAACGAAGGGTAGCAGAGAGCTACGACATTCACCCTACTCAACACCAGGGCCCCCCAAAGCTGTAGGAAAACATGTGCAAAGCATGCCATGGGGTGACCCTGTGGTGGAGGACGGAGGTCACACAGAGGCCTGGATCATGACAGGTTTTACCTCTGGAGAAAGGATAGGTAATCTCATGGCGGCTTCGTAAACTGACTCGCTATGTGGACAAAATCGGTCCTTTACACCTACACACTTGGGATGCGTGAAGCCCCATGTGTGAAGGAAAAAAAGACAACAGCTTTGCTAATGAAAGAATATGTGGGATGAAACCTCTGTCCTCTTGTGGCAGGAAAGAACTTGTTAATTTAGACCTAACACCTTTCCCTATAGCTGGAAATCAAGGGATCTGGCTGTATTTAAATTAAAGATGTGATATAAAGCTGTCAGTTCCATGAGGAACTCTGGGGGGAAGGTAACAGTGCGGGAGGCACGAGCCACAGCTAACATACCAATTCAGTTGGAAGGTAAGGGACATGTTCAAAGGAAAGAATTCAGAGAAGGGGAAATTTGAGTGGCCAACACACACATGCAGAGACTTTTGGTAGTAATCAGAGAAATGCAAATTGAAAACAAAGATTTTTCCGTCTCACAGCCCATGAATTTGCAGAAATTTGAAAGTTGAGTCGTGCTAAGTGTGGGTGAGTGTGTGGGGGCAGCAGGCCTCATCCCCTCATCCTCCAAGGGGAGGTAGAGACCGTCCAGTGTTGGAGGGGAGCCTCAGAGCTCAGTGAGACTGAAAGTCATGATCTGCCACCAGGCACCTGCACCAGAGGATGCATAACCCTGCTTTCTCATGCACAGGAGCACTGTCTGCTTGGCACGGTGAGGGGACAGCGCAGTGGGCACATGCCATGGAAAGCCCCTTGGCAGTGAGAGGCTGTGCTCTGGGCATTCATCCTGCGAAGTGGACAGATCCCTAAAAATATGCTGCTTTTTAGATCCCTAAAAAAAAGGAAGCTATGGGAAGCCAGGAGCAAACCACACACACACACACACACACACACACACACACACACACACACACACACATGCGGCTTCAGTGCAGAGCCCTGAAAGCAGCCTCCTCCTCCAGTTGCCAAGCTGCCGGAACTGGGGACACCAGGGTTGCAGCTTGGGAGCTGTGACGACAGTCCCCTCTGGTCCCCAGCCAGCCCCAGGTGCACCTCAGCAGGTGCCAGCTCAGGTCGCAGCCCATGAGCTGTCCCTCAGCCTCCTGCCCCCCTGCTCCAGCCCTGACTCTCTGGGTCCTGGCTCCTGGCTGCCACGTGTCTTACCTGTCCCAGGCTCCAAGCACCGGGAGGTTTGGACATTGACCCCCGCCCCTGCTCCCGAACGGTGCGAACTCTGGCTCAAGCCGGCGGTTCCAGGGAGAACAGAAGCCTTGCCTCTTACCCTCCTTGGCAGTAAGCTTCTGTTTCTACCTTCATCTGCCTGACCCCTTAGTCTGTCTGTCTTTCAACTAGCTTCCTACATTTTCGAGCTTTTCACATTTTCTGCATTCTATAGCCGAGGAAGCTGCGTCACGGAGCCAGCAGATGACCTTCCCGTGGTCATGGGACTTGAATGAAGGCTGGCTGGCTGCCCCACACCTGGCTCTTAGCTCCTGTTCTCAGCTGCCTGGGGCAGGTGAAGACAGTGGGGTCGATGGGGACTGGGAGGAGACACGGGGGTGTCAGGGGCAGGCTCACTGGAGCACCCAGGGAGGCGGGTGTACAGACTGACACAGAAGCACCTCTGCTCACGTTCTGGGCCAGGCCACTGAGATGTGGAATCTGGAGACATGCACTGTTCCTGTGCCCACTGCCCCAGGCCCTTTGCACAGCTGCCCCTTCCTCCTGGCTGCCTCCTGGTTTTCTTCTTGGCCCAGCCTGGCTGTCTGCCTTCTCTGATGGCTCTTTCTGAGTGGAGTTAAAGTATAATCTTTCAAAAGGTTAAAATCGCGACTCTGAGATAAATATAAGATAAACCCGCGTCAATGATTTTACTCGGTTCATTAATTTATGAGGGAAGCAGTAAGGCATGAAAGCCACTCAAGGGACAGTCCAGAGCCCAGACACCCGTTGGCGGCCAAGGAGGCGAACCTGAATCTGTGGGACGTGACGCTGGCAGCTCGCAGGGCAAGGACCAGGCCCTCCACAGACAACGCCCGTCTGCCTCTGCAGGCTCAGTGTTGGGCCTTGCTCCCTGTGTTTTGCAACTGATGAGGTCACAAAATGGCTCATTACAAGGTGCAGACCCTGTAGTTCAGCTACACCAAGGGTCTGCCAGACGATGGCCACAGAAAGGCCTGTCTCAGAGCTGGTTCTCCTGACAATTGAATCCTCCCATGTCTCCCCTTTGCGACACCTGTCACGGCAGCCACTTGCAGGTCCTGGGTGGGTCCTTGACAAGCCCAGGAAGGTGAGGCTCATGGTAGTAAGCGCAAGAGTGGGCAGTGCCCAGAGCCCCAGGTGCATGGCTGCCCTCCGTCTCGGGAGGAACACTCTTGGAGTGCCCACTGTGCCTACGGAGAGAGCGAGACCTGACAGCTCAGCCGACCTCCCCATCCTCGTGCCTCCACGGGGCAGGGCAGACTTCAGCCCAAGCAGGCTGGCCTCAGTCTGGGCTCCTAACACTGCTCCAGGGCCTCCAGCAAGCTGTGGACCCCTGGAAAAGGCCGCATGGGGAGCCGCATCATGGCAGGATAAGAGCTGTGAGAGGGGCCGTGCACTCACACGCTCTGGAGACCTAAGGCAGTCGGGGAGGAAGACCCAGGCCTGCAAGGAGAGCCTGCAGTTGGGCAGCTCCCTGACCCCACTCGCAGCTGAGCTAATGCCAGGCCCAGGTTCCAGAAGCATCACAGAGATACTGCAGCAGACACACCAGCCGGGCAGCTGTTTCCCGAGCTACGGTGGTGGTGGAGAGAGAGCTCCATGCAGCCCTGAGCTGACTGTGAACACAGCGGGGGCAGCCGGCAGGGTGAGGGGCAGTGAGTGGGTTACCAAGAGGACCGGGGGCAGGTGTCAAGGGCGGGGGAATCTCACTAAAGCTGGGCCCGGCAGGCCACAGCCACGGCTCAGAGGAGTCTGGTCAGGGGAGTGTCCTGGCTGGGGTAAGGCCTCCCTTCTCACGTGTGACCTCCGCAGCCCTGGGAAGAGGTCCTTGGAGCTGGTCCTGCTGAGACCCAAGGCTGCCGGTGCCACTCTCTGTCACCTTCCACAGCCACAGGGACCTCACACAGGGCTGTCCTGCCCCCCAAGAGCTGGAAGCATTGTCTCAGGCCCTGCTGAACGCAGGTGCCCGGCCAGGCTGCCCGGGGAGTGCCGCCCACATTCAGCAACTTTGTGGCGAAGCCTGGATAGGTCCTGGCCTTGGCCAGCGGCTATCCCCATGGTGCCGGCCGCAAGCCCCGGCCTGGCTGCTGATGGCCTCTTCTCACTCGGCTCATGCCTGAGTGGTTTCCAGTCACCCCCGAGTCTCCATCTCCTGGGTGCTGCCAGAGTGTCCGGAGCATGCTTTGGCGTGTGGACTGTGTGTGGCCTTTGAGGGGGACCCACTCCAGCTCTTGCAGCTCATCAGTGGGCAGATTAAGTCCCTCCCTTCCCATGACTCAGCCGGGCTCTGGACACACACCTGCCCCCCCATTCCCCCATCCCTGCAGGGATCTGCCCTGGGGTCAGTGCCATAGGCGGGCGCCCCACCCGGAGTCCAGCGCTGGAAGGTGCCAGGTCCCCATGAACCCAGCTCGTCCCCAGGAACAAGCCTCTGCCAGCTGCCCAGGGGTTTGGGAGGAAGGTTTCATCGCATCCCCAGGACAGAGAGACATTTAAAGGAAAAGCGGTTGTGCAATCCTCGCGGAAAGAGTGATTTTGGTTTCGCATAATCCCCAGCAGAAATGCTGGAGCCGGTTCAGGCTCTGCTGTCCACGAGCTTCCACTGGCCAGGGATCAGCTGGATGGGGCAGGGGGGACAGAATTCCACGTGACATGGTGGCAGAAACCCAGTTCCAAAGTCATTTACCCGCGGGGCTTGGGTTTTTTCTTCTGTCTACATGTGTGGCTTCTAGAAAGGAGGCTCTTGTTTCTCCTGAAGCGTCACTGCTGTGAAGTTCAGCTGCAGAACACCTTCCC